AGGGAAAGAAGAAAGAATATAAATAAAGGCAGCATCTCAACCCGCCCGATGAAGGAAGATCTGGCAATTCAGAGCCTGCAGTGCCTGACGGACGTTTCCCTCACGTCCACCGCCCAAGCGGGGCAGCTCTGCCCCTCGCCCCGTGGTGCCCAACTAACCAAACCTCCCTCCCAGCAGAAAAAAGAAAGGAAACTCTGCTCACATCATCCACACGCCGGCCGCGATGTTCAGGGGGTTGATGGTGACACAGTTCCAGAGACCAGCGAAGGCACAGGCTGGAAGGCAAAGAGGCTTTCAGTGACCATGAAGACCAGCCCAGTGTGCCCACAGCGGCAGCGGGGCCAGAGCCCGGCAGGCAGGGCTGGCTTCTGCTCCCGGCTCTGCCCTGCGACGGGACCTTGCAGCCCCACCAGCTCGATTTTGCTCTCCTGTGTTTTGGGCTGTTCTGCAGATCAGGGGCTGCCCAGGAGAGCCCTTGCCTTGGCCGGCACCGCAGATCAGCCTGTACCGACCAGCACAGGAGGGCGGGTGGAAAGGGCTGATGGCCCGATGAGGAGCCCGGGAGTGTTCCCAGCTCCCCCGGCCGGGTACCCTTTTGCTCTGAATATTTGGTGTCTCGGCGTGACACTTGCACAACTGTTTTACTTGAGTACAACAGAGCATCTGCCTTTACATGGAGTTACGTATGAGGCACTCTGTGGCACCCGGGGTTTTATTTGCTAAGGAAGAACCGCTTTCCCCCAGGATGAACAAAGAGGTCCCAGCAGGCCTGAGCAGCACAGGGAAAGTTCGGCAAAAACGTTACCTGCAGCACCAAGGCACATGGGCAAACGATAAATAAAGCAGAGGTGAACCTGGTCTCAGCCACACAGTGCTGGTTCTGCACTAGAGGTGGGCAGAAAAGAGCCAAGGTTGGGTCTCCACCAACACAAACGGAAGCGGATGCCAGTTAAAGCAGAGCCCAAAATAGCCCCAGCGCTCCCGATTGGCGTGCAAGGAGAGGCATCAGGCAGCAGCAATTCAAGCCGAGGTGGCATCTGCCTCCTCCCTGCCTCATTAAACTTGCAGAGCGCTCCCGGCACTTGATACGGCCCCTCTCCTCCACCGACCCCGG